ACTTCGCAATGCTAATTCATTAAAATGTAAAACTAAGGTAATTTAAATACTTAAAAGTAGAAAAACAGTTTAAAATATTCAATCACTATAAACTAAAGGAATAGCATAAAAGTACCAAAAGAGTATATCATGTGGCTTTCAAACTAAAGAAATTGAAGATAGCACATTTGGATCTCTCTAACCCAGCCCTGTGAATTAATGGAATCAAGAAGCACGGATTAATAACATTTTTAAGGTTAATAGGGCTGTTTATTGGGTGATGTTTACAAGGAATAAAATGGAAAAGCAAAACAAAACAAAAAACGCTACCTATCCTCCTGTTTTTCCACTTTTCTTTATGGAAAAAGATAGTTTTCATTGTCCTGATAGCATACTTTCAGAATACCTGTGGCTGATAACAGGAAGAGACTACTTCTCTTTCAACTTTTACTGATCAAGATTTTTTTCCAGTACTCCTGTGCAGGTAAAGTCAAAGGGATAGGTTGAGGCTCAGTGAAGATGTTCTAAATATAACAGTTGCATTCAAATGAATCATCACATAGGATAACTGACATTCTATCCTATCTACCAGAAGCAAAACTTACTTCTTGCTCTTTAATCTCATTAAGAAATGGGGCTTTTCTTTTTCATTGTCTAGTAGTCATTTTTCAGAGGAGATGGGATATGGGTTCTATTTATAATTGACTCTTTTTTATCTTGCTAAGGAGACAGTATCTAACACAAAAAATAAAAATTTGTGCATACCTGTACTTGCAGTATTCTGGGAAACTAAGGTAGAAAGATCACAAGTTTGAGCCATGCCTGGGCAACTTAGCAAGACCTTGTCTCAAAAAACAAACAAACGAACAAAAAAACCCCAAAAAATCAAAAACAAAAACAAAAACAAAAAAATAAAAAAAAAACAAAAACAAAAAAAATAAAAAACCAAGTTTTGTAAAGGGCTGGGGATGTATCTTAGTATAAAGGCCCTGAGTTCAGTCCTAAGGAAAACACACACACACACACACACACACACACACACACACACACGCACACATGAACACACATATACACATTGTTTTTTCATGGCAGGTTTTACTGATTATTTCATTTCTCAGAAACAGTACTATGTGCTGTTTTTACTCACACCTCTGACACCAGTTGCATTTTTTCCTCTGCCTAACAAACTGTTCTTTGATTTTCTATACCAGTGATGGTGAACTTTTTAGAGCTTTCAATGATAGCAAATAGCCAGCAGTGCCATAGGTTCAATACCACTGCTCTAAACACTAAATGGGTGTCCTGCAATTTAGTTCACTTATAAGTGCTTGGAATTGGCACACAGCTAAAAGTTTCAGTTCTAAAAATGTGCTCCCACTTCAAATACCTTTTGAAAATCCATCTTTATTTCTGATCAGCCAGACGTAAATTGGAGGTTGCCATGACCACTTACACAGATTTGGTAGTTTGCTTTAATGGCTCTAAAAAGGACTTTACTTACTACTACCAGCTTATTGTACAGGTTTCAGCTCAGAAACAGTGAAAAAGAAGTGTATAGAGCCAGGTGTGGGAGAAAGGACATGATGCTTTCACGCTTTTCTGCACATGCCGTACTCAAAGAATTTGTGTGTTCACTATTGAAAACATTAAAAAAATAAATGCACTGTTTTTTTTGAAGGGTCTGTTACATAGGTGTGTTTGAGATCATTCACCCTTGCTGATCAGACCCAGTCTCTAGCCTTTTTGGAGAAATCTGGGAGCGGGGCTGAATGTTTCAACTCTAATCTCAAAGTGAGTTCCTCTGGCAACCATTTTCCATTCTGAAGCTGTATATGTGCCCACCAAGTATCATTTTATTAGTATAAATTCTGGTATATTTGAAAGGAGGTTTTAGGAATAACAAAGATACTCATGTCACCCAGGAAATTGCAAGAGTTGTAGAAGCTCTGTGTCAAGAATTGGAGACAAATATCAAATATATCTCTCTATGTAATCACAAGTACTTTTCAAAATCAAACCTACTCACTGTGACTATTATTTTGTTTTTCCTAAAAGTGATATAGAAATAGCAATACTTTTTTTAGGAAATTGCCCATACACAAAGTGACACCTATTCCCTTTTTCTTAATCTCACAAATTGATTTAACAAACAGAGTTTTAAGGATGTGTGTGTAGAGAGCACCATATAGGGTCAGGAAAAAATAGGTTTTGAGATTAATGTGTTAATGTTATTTAAAAAAGAAATAATCCAAAAGGTGACTTAAGTAGTAGGAAACTGGAGAAGAAGCTAGGTGAATTATTTCATGTAATTTTAGGGCTCAGGAAGCAGCACCCTCAAAGTGTGACATTTTGACACGCCGAGCACTGGAAGGCCGGAGTAGCTGTCTTGGAGTCATGGCTCCCCTCACCGTTCCTGATGTCCAGCTCCCACGCTCAGTGAGAGGCTGTCTCTAACGTTTTCTTATTTGACTTAAGGGAAGTTAGCAAACAAACCACACACACACAAAAGAGCAATTATCTCGGGCTCCCTCTCTAAAATCTCATTAATTTGAAAAATTAGGTCATAGAAAAGAAGACTAAAAGGTGTCTACCTATATACACTAAAGGCATCACGTGTTCTTTTAAAGGCTGACACCTGACGGTCTGCCTGTGCAGTGAGACAACCCTTGTTGTAATAGAGTCTGTCCTTCATCTTATCCTGGGCTAGTTTGTGTCGCTGAGGCCCAGAACTCCTACAGATCATTCATTGCCCTTGGAATGTTGCCTGTAGCTACCTTTTCTGTTTCCCTTTCTGCTATGAGAAGGGCACTGAAGTTTCAATTACCTGGCCTAGTTTTTAGTTTTCATGTTCTGTGTGGCTCTTGTGCAGGTTAACGAACTGGTATACATTCTTTTCTGTTAATCTGTCAGTTGTCAGTTTAGTTCGACAGCCTTAAAGATTTGAGCCTTCGGAGGGAGAAACAAGTTTCCCTTTACCTCTACAGGAGCCAAGAGGATGAAAAGAAAATAATAAAAAGTATAGAAAATCAGATAAGTTTAAACAACTATGAAAAAACAAAGTTAAAAGGAAAAATGGAGGGAGAAAAAACTCCTGAGAAAAAATACACAGCAAAATGAATTTTTGTAGTAGTAAAGTTAGAGCATTTAAAATAACCAGGTATAGTGGTTCATGCCCATAATCGCAGCATTTGGGAGCTGAGGCAGGAAGATCACCGGGAATTCCAGGCCAGCATGGGCTACAATAGCATTTCAAGGCTAGATTGAACTACATAGCAAAACTCTGTCTCAAAAGCAAAACACTAAAAAAAAGCCCTAAAAGTATTACTCTATAAGTTGAAACACATGCTCACACCCACTGTATGAAAAAAAAAAGTATATATTTCCGGCAGGTTCCTTTTGGTTCATTTCCCAAATTCTGAGATCTTGAAAAGTAAACATGAAGCGATAGACAGACAGTGGGTCTTTGTTCCTTATCAGGGCCTGAGCTTAGCTGCTTGAATAGTCTATCAAATCTGTGAAGGTGAGAAACAAACTTTTCAGCAAACAACCACAGATGAAGACGGCTAGCCAGTCCATCAGTGGGCCTTACACACATCCAGGAATAGAACAGCTGCAAAGAAATTAATTTAAAAATTAATCTTTAGCCTTTCTTTTATTAGAGTTACTTAGGTAGTTTTAGATATCTATGCTTTTTGAATGTAGAACTATTATCTTCTTTTTAATAGTAACTATTTCACTAAGAACTGTGGCAGATATTTAAATGACTAGAGCAGATGAATTGTATTTGCATATTATTTCTATACTGCTGAAAGAGCCTTGTAAATGAATGCAGCACCATGGTGTTAGGGGACTAGAAAAAGAAACTTGGGAACGGATAGATTATTATCAAGGTAAAGGTACTTATTCCCTCGGTGGCAGCTCCTACCTATTCGAGCTTTTATTATCCCTAGGATAGTGTTCTATTTATTTCAGGAGTGCAGAAGTTTTAATTGGGTATGTCATGTTTCAAAGACAAAAGAAATGCCTAATTCACTCTAACAAACTTGTTAGTCACTGTTTATACCAAGAGGATTTCTACTCTACAGAGAATAATATTATTTTCCTTTTTCTTTGTTGATAAATCAAAGTTTTACACAGACCTACAGCAGTCAAGCATACTTTAAAGCAAAATCATCTCAGTCTAACATACAGATGTATCTTTTCAGCTTTATGTATTCTTTTTGCTCCCATTTTTAAATGTTATATTTCAAAGAATCACGCAGAAGGGAAACATTAAATTTTTTTACTGATTTACCTGATAAGAAAAATAGTTACAGGTTTTGATGAATTTTAATATTAGAAGATATTTTATGATTAGATATTTCCTTTAAAGTTATTAAGTTATTTGCAGATTTTTAGTTGGTTGAAAAGGTTTGATAGTAAGTTGCATAGCCAGTGGAATGATTTGTAGAAACAACTTCACCCATATGCCTAGGTTTATATTTGTTAGGAAGTCACAGTTTTTCTAGAATTGTGATTTTTATGGTTTACGCTGCCCAGTGGATGATCTTTCACTTGAACAAAAGGCTTTAGTAGGGGGTATTAGACTTTCAGTCTACCCTAATTCTGTTACTGTTTGCTTTGTTCAGCAGTCACTGTGATCCTCCTGGCAGGGAACAAGATCCAGAGAACAAAACTGGTAGTGACTGTGTAGATAAAAAGGCAAAGAATTCTGCTTTTAAGGCAAAGAGGGAATAGTCTACAAAAGAATGAAAATGGGAATAAAAGTATAGCATTGTTAACCCACATACCTATTGTACTTTTGAAAATCTTAATACTGTACCAAAAAATGTGACATTACAAAGATATATAATTATATTACTTAAAATCTTGGAAAAGGTCACTGTTTGGTTTCTCATTTGGCAAGAAAATAGACTAGATTATTTATAATTGAAAAACCACAGAACCCTGTTTCTCAAAATGACAGGACAGTGTTTCACCAGTATATCAGGTACCATAATATATAATTTATTCCCTTGCAGAACAGCTCTTTAGATACCGTGAAGATGATGGGGTCAAGAAGAGTACTTCAGAGAAGAATGGGAAAGAAATGTCCGAGCAGACCTTGCAGAAGGTAGTGTAATCTTTAAGATATTGAACTGAACAAGGTAAATCTGAATTTTAACATAAAGGATTATGTTTTAAAACGAGTGCTCATAAATTTGAACCTTGTGTGAATCCTTAATTTAAATTCATAATTTAAAATCATTGGCTCACCAAAATAGGGTAAAAAAATCAATGTTAGTAAAATAAATGTGTAAATACTTGTGCTTCCTTTGACATAGATTTAAAATATTTCCAAAGATGAAATGGAGAGAATGAAAATAATAGAAGTTAACAAAATTTAGACCATATATTCTTATTAGTTATAACTGAGCAGTTTAAATTTAAAATGGTTCATGGCGAGGCTGTCTTACACTATAATAAACATCCATATTTACATAGTAAGATAGTAAAATGGTAATATGTATAATTTTAAATTTTAAAATATATCTGATTCATCTCATTTTATATAAAAGTTCACATCATATGATTTAGTATACTTTTCTATTTTAATAAGAACAGCCATATCAGCCTTGTATTCACAATGCAGCATGTCTGTCATTAACAGTAAAATATTGCTTTAAAATGTTAACATTTATCTTGGTAATTTTATACTTCATTCATGCTTTTATATATAAATACACTGTTTAGAAACTCAATGAAATTGAGTCCATTGTATTAATACTTTTTAATATTATCAAAAAGAAAACCATTTTTAGTTTATTGTTATAACTGACTGTCATTTGATCACACTAGATTAGTTTTATTTTTTAGTAAATCTTTAACATTTACAGAAAACTAGAAATTCACATATATATAAGCAGAAAATTAATATATGTACCTATATTCCTTGCAGCTGTGAACTGACTTGTAGAACATACAGTAATTTATAACAGTTAATGTGATTCCCTGAATAGTTCTAACGTTTGCCATATGGTCAGGTAACAAAGGCTGTCATCTCAGTACTGCTGAGTGACACATAACTGGTAAACATAATCACATAGAAAACAAAAAATGCTCACATTTGTCTTAAGATAAAAATGAATAATTGAAATAATCTGTGTACTATCAGGTAGATAGCATATAGTTTATATTAGCTTATTTTTATTTCAAAAATATTTTTGTTTTCCATGTTTTATATTAATATGTTACTTTGTATTGCCCAAGAGTAGAAACCCTAATGAAATCTATTATTTCATTCTAACCACCATAAATGACTAATACTATAAATGGATGCATGAATCCACTTTAAGGCCTGGAAAGCCAACAGGAATTATTTTCATTGAACCATATGTCAAATTAGCATACTAATTTGTTGCTGTTTTTTGTATTAATCTAGCGCAGTTGTAAGTCACAATTTAATTACTCATGGTTGAATTTCATTATTTATTTATTTTTGTGATGCTGGGGAACCCCAGACCTTCTGTGTGCCAGCAAACATTCTACCACTGAGCCACACCCCAGTCCAATTTTTTTTATTTCAAAAGGAGGTACATGAAACTTATTCAAAATGAATGTAAAAGATAGTAACAAAAGATAGTAACAAGATGAGAGCAATATTTGCATATATTTCTAATGCAACATATAAACAGTTCCTTTTAAAATAATGTATTAATATTTCACACTGTTACTGGCTGAATTGTGTCCCCCTGAACCCTTAAATTATGATCTCCTAAATCTCAGAATTCTGTTTAGAGTGCGTCTTTAAAGAGGTATTTAAATTAAAATGAGGTTATTAGGGAAAGCCCTAACTCAGTAAGCGGGTATTGTTACAAGGAAATGAAATTAGGCCACAGACAAACACGGACAGAAGACCCTGCGACACAGGAAACGTTTGCTGTTTACAAGGCAATGAGTGAGGCTCTAAAGGAAATGAAGCCCGCTGACACATTGTTCTTGGATTTTCAGACTCAGACCTATAAAAAAGTAAGTTTTTGTTAAGTCCCCACTCCACTCTGTGGTACATTTTTATGGCAGACCTATCAAACTAATATGTATATCTCATAATTCTAGGTGACCTATTTCAATTTTGAAAAGAACTGTCTTTTTGATAAATTATTTTTAAAGGTTCATCGCTGAAAAGAAAGTATGGATTTGAGCTGATTTGAAACACACAAACCAAATACCTTTAAGTTCCCCAGACTTTCATTTTTAAAATCAGTTCAGCAAGTGTTGAGTATACCTTGAGTAACACTCCAGTGGTGCTGTGGGTTTTCCCTTTAGTAATATATTTGCTTTGTTTGTTTTCCATGTTAAACAAAAATAATTTTGACCAGTTCCTAAATTTGAGCATATGTTTACATTGGACAGTTAATAGGTTTTAATACTGCAAGGATTTTCCTCTTGGTATGTATAGGGGCCGAAAGGTGGGATGCCTTTTGTCACCCATCCACCCATCGTATGAGTCACAGTCAATACTCCTGTAACAGGAGATAGGTTAACAAGAGAAAACTGTAACAAATTCATTTAATTAAAGTTCTGTGTGACATGTGAGGCTTCAGAAATGAAGGCCCAGGAAAAAGTGTTCATTTTTATGCTTAGGTTCTGTGGAGAAAGGACAGCTGTGTCAAATTGTGCTTAAAAGAATGATATGATCCAATGGTGATTGAGAGGGAAACCCAAGAAAGGCCGGCTTACTTAGGTTTTTCTTGACCTGTTTGTATAGCATTCCTTTCCCCTAGGATGGGGCAGCTCCTCTAAATGAGGATCTTCAGGGTGAAAGAAGAAGGAAGAGTAGCCTTTGTAGGAAGTGAGGAGTTCTAGTCTCAGGTTGAAGAGAAATTCTGAGAAACTCATATTGGGTGTGAAAGACGCATGAAAGTTGTAAAGGCAGGAGGTCCAAGACACTGCTTCGGAAACCCTTCCGTTGCCCTTCAGTTCAGAGTCCTCACTATGCCAAGATGCCATGCTGTGCTCTGAGTCCCAACACACGTAATAATTTTATGAATTATACCCAAACTTAAATAGATTTTACTCAAAAGAAAAGAAAATACTGATTTCAAGAATTAAACGACTAATTTAAAATGTTTCTTACAGGGTCAGGTATGGTGGTGCACACCTAAAATCCCAGCACTTGAGAGGCTGAGGCAGGAAGATCACTGTGAGTTTCAGGCCAGCCTGTGCTACATAGTGAGTTCAAGCCCAGCCAGAACTACATAGCAAAACCCTGTCTCAAAAAATAAATAATAAAAATAGTAAATATTATGACTAAAAATAATAAAATTATTAATAATAAAATAAAGTGTTACATTTGTTACAACGTTTTATTTTTATTAAAACTATAGAGTTTATTTAAAGGCTAATTTAGCATATTTAGTACATTTAATAGAAACAATTTTAGTTAAAGAGAAACAATGATAAAGATGATGATGCAAATAGTGAATTGATTAGTACTTACTGTCTGCCAGAATTTTTTGTTCATTACATTTAATATCACAACAAATCTGCATGCTAGATATTACTACTCCTATCTCACAGATTTGGAAACTAATGGTGTATAAGAGATTAAACATTTTGCCACCTGAAGCGGTGAGATCTGCAAGTAAGATACAGACCTAACTCAAAATTTTATTTTCTGTAGACTACACTGCTTCTTAATATTTTTCTACCACTCCTCAAGTCAATATTATAAAAAATGTGTAATTGTTTATATAAAAGATATATTGAAAATAGAATCTGTTTTACTTTCCCTACCCTGGAATCTAGCTTGCTAAAGTATTTTAAAATATATGTATGGAAAATACAGTATTTGGAACAGTTATTAAAGATCCACCAAGGGAAACTAATTATAGTATAGAGACATAATATTCCCTGTTTGTAGTACATTTTGCTAAACTGGGAATAAAAGTTGGAAGTAGAATGATTTGGAAGAAATACAGATTCAACCAGAGTTTGTTCCTTCAACACTATTTTTTGTCATGTTTACCATCTTTCCAATAAAATTTAAATTGAGAAGGAAGAACAGAATGTAATTCACAGAAATATGCAGAAGCTTATAAGAGCTGGGTACCAATTTCATGTACCTCAACTCTAGACCAAAAGTTAGGCCCTGGAAGACATAAACCCAATTAGTATATCATATTGTGGAATAGAACTGATTAAAATTAGATGAAATTCTTAATATTGTGCTGGTAGGAGGCTACCCAATCATGTCCCTGGATAGGCTGACCAATCGGTAAATAGCTATTTAATCACATGAAGGTAGTTGAACTCACAAGAAAAATAGTGGTATAGAATGATAGATAAATCAAAGATGACTAACTCATGTTTAGAAAATAACTTACATCTTCACCATTATAAGTAAAATTTAGTAAACTAGAAAAGTGTTTATATATTACATATGTTTTATCTTGTGCTTTTTAATGACAAGTTCTTATTTTTTTTAATTTTAAGAAATAAAAGAAGGAAAACATATTAACAAGCAGACATCCATGTACAAAATAGCATAAGAACAATACAAACAAAACAGAGTTACAGAAAAAGTTGTAGGAAATTAATAATGGTTGTTGTATTACTTATTGATATCTTCAAAGTGGTTTTTCAAGAAAACAAATATGTAATACAACAACCATTGTTAATTCCCTACCACTTTGTTTGTAACTCCGTATTGTCTGTACTGTTCTTTTGATAGGTTGTAAAATGTTGTCTGTCTGTTAGTTTTCCTTCTTTTATTTTTAAAATAAAAAAAAAAGAAAACAAATAGAGACATACAAGATGGATCAAACAAGTAATCATTAACTGTTCCTTTCTGTAGAGCAATAGAAGACAGTAATACAAGTATGTTTGCTATCCTGTATGTACATGCTTACATAATTTTCCCTTCTTTCCCTTCTCTTTTCCCACACCCCAGTTGCCCTTTACCCTTGAGCATTTTCCTTTCGTTTCACAATGTCTATCATACCTCCTAGTTTTTATTCACTTTTTCAGGTCTTACACTGGTGGGGCAATATGATTCTTACACATACAGGTCTGATTTATTTCACTTATGAGTATGGTCTCTAGTTGTGACTGTTTACCTATAAAAGTCTTGAGTTTATCTTTCTTTATAGCTGAGTAATATTCCATTATATAAAAGTTCCACAATTTTTTTATCCAGTCCTCAGTGGATGGACATTTCAGTTGCTTCCACAGTTTAGCAATTACAAATTGTGCTGCTGTGAACATGGGTGCACATACGTTGCTGTGATATTATGTTTTCAGATCTTCTGGGAAAATACCCAGAGAGGAATAGATGGGTTGAATGGGACCTCTAGACCTAATTTGCTGAGGAATCTCCAAACTGATTTCCACAGTGGTTTCACCACTCTGCATTCCCACCAGCAGTGGAGAAGAGTTCCTATTTCTCCACAGCCT